ATATATATATATATATATATATATATATATATATATAAATGATTGAAAATAAATATTAACATTAAGATATTAACATTAAACCATGATTTTTATTGCATGTACTTTTTTTATTAATTGTTTCATTATAAATTAATCTCAGTTTTATTATGTGGCTAGAACAGGTACTTATTATGGCAAGAACTGGTGTTATGGTGGCTAAAAACAGTGAAATCGGAAATTATGACATAAGTATTATTTTTTAAACATTTGGCTTATCATTTGTCTTAAATTTATTATTTAAATATTCTTAATAATATATTAAAATAATTAAAGACATTAAATAACAAAAGGAATTTAATTAAAACACGTTTATTTCATCGAAAATCCTTAAAGTAGCCACAAATGGAGTATCGACCCTATATAGAAGTCTGTGGTACGACATTCATCGACATCTAGCTGTAATTCGTATATCATTGTCTGTTTTCATTTGTAAATAAACGCTTGTTTTGTGTGTAAAGAATTTTCGCTCTGCCGATTTTCCAAAATGTCGAGTATAATTGAGCAAAGAACATGCATTAAAGTTTGTTTTTGCAACGAAATTACTGCTACAAAAACAGAATAGAAATGTTGCAAAAAACCTTTGATAACAATACTCTATCAAAAACAAGAGTTTTTGAGTGGTACAAGATATTCCAGGAAGCACGCTCCAGTAGACCATTCCAGTGGCGTAGCCAGGAAGGGTGTTGAGGGCCTGCAGCCCCCCCCCCCCTGAAATTAATTTTCTGGGTTGCTCAGTGTGAGACAAATTTTTTCGAATTACTTTTTTTGCTCGTCAAAAATAAAAAGTACAGCCCCGAAACTTTTTTCTGGCTACGCCACTGGACCATCCACTGATAAGTAACACGTCGCTCAAGTCAGAAATTTAGTGCTCAATAAACATCGTTTAACAATTAGGGGCATTGAATATGTTTAAGTATTATTTGGATCTTGTCAAACAATTTTAAAAGATTATTTAGGTTTGCGGCACGTCGCTTCTCGAGTCGTTCCGAAAACGTTCGTGAATTTTTAGTAAAAAATTCAACAAATATGGTTTCGCAAGCTACGTATACTTGATATGGTACTGTGTGACTTTTTCTTGTTTCCTCCAGTAAAATTTTCGCTTTGTAGTTACCGTTTTGAGTCGATTGATGCCACAAAAGAAAATTCGCAGCAAAATAAAGTCGTTTTCACGAAAACGACTTTAAAGCATGTTTAGAGGATTGGAAAAAACATTGGCATAAGTTCATTGGCATAGTGGGAGGGCATTACTTTGAAGGGGACGAAGTAAATTTTGATGAATAAATTTAAATCTTGCGTTTTACTGAATCATTCCCGATACTTTTTGATTATAGTAGTATTATTTAGTAATACTACTATAATTTGATTATAGTAGTAACTTTTGCAGCTGATTTATCAAAACAAACGAAATTTACGAAATTTACAAAAACAGACATTTGACAAGCTAAGGAAAACTCCAAAAAACTCAATGTCCTAACAATATAAAATTGTAACAAATAATACATTTAATACAAAAAATGGAATTGCACAATATATAAAAATACAATGCAAATTAATAATAATAACAAAAACAATAAAAACACATTAACATTAAAGTTAATACAAGTTAAAATCAATAAAGTATCAACGATAGGAGAAATCTAAAATTCTCTACACTGTTATCATCTTCGTGAATCATCTTCGCTCGTCCTTGAAGGACACGTTTGATTGCTATAATCTTGTTTAAGTGATGATGTAATCAGATATATGAAAAAATAATACGTCAAGTTTTTACGAGCACATTTATTATTGTAATGTATGCAAGACGACATTTTTATGTATGTGTATAATTTTCGCTGACTCTTGTAGTTCCTGTTTTTTGATGTTGCAACAGTCTTCGTTGTAACAGTGTTGTTAGTTGTGAAGCAGGAGGTGGAGCATATTGTGCTATTTGCTTCGCGGCCATACATATCAGTACATCGATTTGTTTAGAATTTTTATATCGATTTTTTTAAAGAATGTAAAGACGATATTTTTATATGTAAAATATTTTTGCGTTCTCCTCGTGTATACAGGGTGTGTGTGTGTTTCCAACACAAGCTATACAAAATTATATGTGAAAATACAGTGTCAATCTGAGTACGAAGATCCAGAATTTGGCATTTTGCAAACAATCAAGTGAAATTTTAAAATACTTATAAGGAAAATTGTCGAATCAGAGTGCACGATATTGTGAGAAAATAATGTGCTTAGCTCAGGAAATTTAAGTGAGACAGCCTACATTTTTGCTCATAATTTGTCTGTTACAGAGTTATCATTTGTTGAGCACGTAGAATTATATCGCATTGGTTATATTATCATTTAAACTACATCATGATATCAAGTGCAATATTAATTATTTTAATATGCATTGGTATAATCTACCTAATTATGGATTATCGTAAACGGTTACAATTCTTTCAAGCGGCAAATGCATTACCAGGTCCGAAAACGCAACCAATTTTGGGAAATAGTTATTATTTTCTCCAAAGAAATTTTGACGGTAATATTAGCGTTTATATATTTGTTAATATTACAGACGAATAATACAAATTTTGGAAAGATAAAAGTAAAAATTGATAAAATTACAGAGAGTTTCAAATTGGCATCCAAACCATTCATTGTAGTAAATTCAATTTACAATAAAGCTATTGAAGAGTGATAATCTCTTAAAAGAAAATAATTCAAGACTTTTCATGAAAGTAAATCATAAAACGTTATTATTTCAAAATAAAATTATTTGACATTAATTTTTTGAAAATGTGATATAATTAAATATAGAAAATTGTTTAACAATAACATATAATAACAATTAACATATAATAATAATTGTTTAACAATAACATATAATATTTTTGAAGTATAAAAAATTTCAGAATTCTTGAACAGTATATCTTCGCTCATGGATATTTACCCGTCTCCATTTCGGTTTTGGTTGGGCAACAAGTTAATTATTTTTATAAACGAACCAGACCAAATAAAAGTAAGAGTGCAACGCTTGCATTACTTATTCATTAATTCATTTATATATGCATGAATTACGAACAATTATAAGTCAGTGTTGTTGTTTATCTTGATAATATAAATCATTTTTGATAGCAAATTATCATCATTTTTGGCAACAAGCATCATTTTTTAATATATACGTTAATTAAGAAAACTATGAGTGTGTGTTTTATGCAAGTGATAATATAAACGTATAAAAAGTGATAATATAAACGTATAAAAAGGTTTTATATATTGCAGGTAATTCTTCAACATCCTAGCTGCTTCAATAAAAATGTGCTGTATGATACTTTGAGACCGTGGCTAGGAACGGGACTTATTACTGCTCCTGGTGAGATCTTGTAAAAAAACAAACTTATCTGTAACGTCTGTAAATAATATAATATGTAAAAAATACGTCATTATATTTTTACACAATGTTGGTTGGATGCAATGACATAATTTATTATATTAGTAAAACAAAGTAGAGCATTTAAGTTACATACACTCACGTTGAGCAACAGCATCTATTTTATTAATTAATAATATTTATTTATCTCAGTATCCCTGCCGTAGTAATACCTTGTAGTTTCTATGTTCAAATCAATGTTTATTAGAAAACACATTTTTACATTTTTATTAATATTTTAATTTCTAATTGA